GCTGCTCCAGGCTCCACAGAGGCAGCTCGGCCTTGCCATCTGGAGGAGCCGTCTTGGAATCTGGCTCCTGCCCAGAAAGCACAGTAATGGTGGCCCAGCCCCACTTTGAGTTTCTTCCTCTGACCATTGGGTAAAGTGAGGGATAGAGACAACAGACTATCAGCATCAGGCCTGAGATTTAGGAGCAGCCCAATATATTTCTATGTTTGAGTTTTAATCCGTAAGACAACTCCTTCACAGATAAGGAAACAGAGAGAAAGCTAGAAGCATGTCTTGGCCTGCAAATGCCGACGCTCACCTGTCTTCTTAATAGCAACAAATCTCTACGAGCCCAAACTACACCTTGACCATCTCCGGGAGGCACCAGCCCCAGGTGGCTGGAAGCAGCTGTGAGGCTCCCACTGCTTCCAGCTTCTGCTTGCTCCGTCTTTAAAAGGTTGGTTTCCCCTACCCCAAGTCCTCAATATCTCTCACCCTCAGCACCATTCTAAACAAAGTTTTTTAAGTTCCAAGAACACAGATGACAGCACTGAGGCTCAGGGAGGTGCAGTAACCTGCCCAAGGCCACACAGCATGAAGCTGCCAGAAGCCAAAGGCAGGCTGGTTTGGCCCCTCCAGTGGGCTGGGTGTACACCAGCCCTCCAGTGTCTGACAGCCTCACTGTTCCAGCATCCCTCCCTCCCTCAGGTCAACAAAAGAGGAATCATTTCCCATTCCTGGCTTCTCTGCCAGCCTGGAGAGACTGAGTGAAAAAGAAACATCCCCATTTAGATCAGGGCCGTGTTTCCTGGTCTTTCCCAGCTTCTCAGTTTTGTTGTCTGTTGTTTGAAGTCTTGTTTCCCAGGAGATTGTGGGAATGCAGGTGCAGAGGCCTGGGGGCAGCTGCCCTCCCTCCTCCAGCCTGGGTACCTGCTCTCCCAACTTGGCGTCCCAGGGCTGTGTGCTCAGACGTGACCATGTTTGGGCATGGAGGTTTGTCCAGATGGAGACCAAAGGCCGCTTCCCAGGAGACGGGCTGGGAGCCCGGACTTCCTGCCTGCAGCTCAGGCACCTCTCTCGGGTGGGGGCTGGGGACCAGGCAGAAAGAAAGTGTCTGCCTGTCCGAGGCTCCGAGGCACCAGGGAGACTGTGAGTACTGTGTCATCCAGAATACCTGGGGAGGTGTTTCTACAAAGACAGGACAGAGGAGACATTTCAGGGAGGGAGGCAGCAGTGGGCACTCCCTTCCTCGAGGGGTGGTCCACCCAGATTCTGGGCTCCAGGGGACTGACATCCCTGTCACTGGGGATTAATACTGCCTTTCCCTTAACCTGGTGGCCACTTGGGGGACAGCCTGGCTATTTGGAGGGTGACTCTAGCAGCTCTGCTCTGGCCTCCAGGTTCCGGCTGTCAGAGTAGTAGGATGACAGCAGTGTGAGCAGCAAGGCTGCCTTGGCACTTGTCCCCCAGGAGAAGGGGGACATAGAAATTGGCTGAGCAAGAGCACTGGAGACTTCTCCCCCAAACCTTCAGGGCTTCCTTTGTTGTTAACAATGGCTAATATTAATCAAGGGCTTGCACTGGGCCTGGCTCTAGGATAAATAGGAAGATTTGATTTATCATTTGATCTTTATCAAAACTGTCTGGACAAGCACTATTAGTCTTATCTCACAGTCACCTGGGTGCTAAGTGGCAAAGCCAAGAATTGATTTAAAAAAATATATTTTTATTGTAGAAATATTGTTTTGAATCGTTTGTATTTTAGAAGTATAGGATGCCCCCCTGTAGTGTTGCTTCCATAGCACCCCAAGCCCCCAAGCATCCACAGCCCACCACGGTGGACTGTATTCACCACTGAAGTCCCTTGTGCTCAGTTCTGTCTTTGTTCCTGCCCTCTGCTTCCCACTCTGGTAGCTCAGTTCTGTAGTCTGATTTCAAGGGTTGGTATTTTTAGTTTGGTTTTATCTGACCCCTTTTCTGTTTTTTCTATATTATTTAAAAAATATTTTATTTATTTTTGTGTAGAACTGGGGTGTAGGCCAGATATGGTGGGAGGGAAGAGGATTCACCAGAGACAGAGTGGAGAGCAGGACAGATGGATCTGTTGAAATACAGCGCTGAGGGGAGCAGCGGGTAAGACAGGAGAGATTGTTGCGCCTTATGTGGGTCAGCGACCTGGTCTGGGATGGAACTCAGGCCACAGTGCTGACAGCATGATACTGCTGAGGCTTAACCTCTACATAGCCCTTAACCTGTTATTGTAGTTTAAATGTTCATATAGGTGTGGGTTTATTTCTGGGGTAAAGACAAGATATTTAGCTATTCTTAAAACTGGGAAGTTCTACCTGGATTTTTTTTTTTTTTTAAGATTTATTTGTGCATAGAGAACTGGGGTACAGGCCAGAGGCTCAGGGGCGGCGAGAAGCTTCACTAGAAAGTGGGGAGCAGAACAGGCAGATTGACGAAGTACATTGCTGAGGGGAGCAGCGGGCGGGTCAGGAGAGGTCTGCCACACTATGTAGTCACCTCGAGGGCAGGCGGGGATTGAACTCATGGGGAAGTGGCTTTAGCTTCTTAGTGCTGTGCTTTAACCCGCTGTACCACCAGCGTAACTCTTGCTCTAGTTACAACCCATTTTTCCAGTTCAGACCTGGGGGATGGCACCAGTTCCCATCCTTCCTCCTCTGAGGCCCCTCATCTGGATGTTGAAAGCTGACTTCCTCCCCAAGTCATGTATCCAAATAGAACCCCTAGCATGGTTCTGGGAGGATTTACACAACCCTCCAAGTCCACTCACTAGGCATAGACAATAATCTCACCACCACACCATAAACAGCTGGGAACTAAATAAGCTTCAGCTTTGCCACTCTCTCCTAAGTTCCCAGACCTGCTGACATCAGGCTCTGCCATTTCAGCCTCAGGAATGTCTGGGACTGAGGAGGAGGTGGAATTTGGAGGCGGGTTAGCTTGGAGGGCAGGTACTTGCCTAGGACACCCCTTCACAGGCTCCTCAAGACACTACCAGGAAAGACTGCTTTGCTGTGGGTACCCAGCCCAGGTCCTTAAAGCAGATCCCCGTTGGCCCCAAAGATTTGAGGTCCATATCTCTGGGGCAAGACAGGTGCCCGTGGCCCCTGGGGCATTTTTCCCATCACTGGGTGCCATGTCCCTTTACCTGTGAAAAGGTGGGTGGGCTTGTTACACTGGAACCAGGTGACCCATAATATAGCCACCCCGTTCCCACAAGATCACAGGACAGAAGGAATAGGGTGGGAAGGACTTGGACAGAATGTGTTTCTCTATCAAGGGAAAATCTTGCTCCTTTGTGATATAACATGTCTGTTGAAATGCACTTCTCAGTACCCTTAACAAATGCCCTCAAACTGTCACTGGCTGTACTCCCTGTCAATCATCCGGGTTGTGATAGTGCTGCCGGGCTCTGGACTCATCTCTTTAGGACAGTGGGATGGAAAGCAGAGGGTCAGGCTTTCTGACTTGGCGCCTCAAACAGTCTGTATTCAGGAGAGAAGCCTAAGTAGAAAAGACACCACTTTGCTAAACTCTGGTCTAGTAATCCTTCTGGTCTAGTAATTCCTGATCATTCAGTAATTTAGAAAAATAACATGTTGTTTACTTTAAGGACCTGCCAGGGAAAATAAAGTCCTTTCTGATCGCTGACTAAAGTTTACCTTAAAACAGAGAAACCCCTAGGACCTTAATGTCTTTGGTAGGAACATCGGGTAAGGTTACCTTAAACAAACCAACCAAAAACAACAGCAAAGGATTTACTGGATGGCTTTGGGGCAACTGGCAGAGCAGATGGGAAACATCCACAAGGCACAGAAGCCAGACAGGCTCTGGGACTCCAGGGGGCACACAGGTGGCAAGAGTCACACCCTGCAGGGCTTTCCATGGGCTCACAGGGGGCAGGGGTGGAAGGAGATGGGGACAGGAACCGAGCAGGGGAGGGCAGGACTCAGTGTGTACAGGGGTGACAGCAGGGGGAAACGAGAAAAGCTGCCAGCTACTTCCCCCTTGCTCCTGGGCCCCTGGTGACTAGAACCCAGAAATGTGAAGGCAGTTGCTGAGGCCACCATAATACCTTCTTCCTCTCTTAAAGGGACAGTGGCCTACAGGGCCTGTGGCTGCCTTCTGGGGCCATCTGTAAGCTGCCCCTGGCCCCGGCAGCTGACTTGTGAAATGGCCCCCGTTGTTCTGAGACAAGCGTCCTAGGACAGTGAGAACACACTCCACCTATGTGTTCACTGTATTTTTGCATGTCGTAGTGTTAGTTTCCCGTTGCTGCTGTTGTCACACATCAGTGGCCCAAAGAGCAGTGGTCTCTGTGCACACAATTCTAGAGGCCAGAAGTCCCAAGTCACCCAGGACTGGAGGGTGGCGCGAAGGTGTCGGCAGGGCTGTGCTTCCTGGGAGGCTGTGGGGAGCAGAAATGGTCTCCTGCTGCCTCTGCTCCTGGAGGATGCATCGCCTGCTGGCCCTAGGGCCTCCGTCTCTGCCTCCGGGCCACATCCCCTTCTCCTCCTCTTCTATATCTCATCTCCTCCTTTTCCTCTGCCTTACAAGAACCCTTGTGATTACATTCAGGGTCTACATGTAGGACAATCCAGGAACATCTCCACACCTCAAGACCCTTTAAGTCTGTGATCTTAAGTAACTTTTACGTGCCCCAGAGCTGAAAACCTGGGTATCTTGGGGCCACTAATAAAATTATCACATGCTATGTGACCTTGAGCAAGTCACTTAACCCCTAAGAGCCACAGGTTCTTTGTCTATAGGATAGGGATGACAATATTTGCCTCTGTTGAGTTGGTGGGAGGCTTCTATGAGGTCAAAAGTTCTGTGAAGTTGCAACACTTTTTGTATAAAAATAGAGGTGATATTCCTATTTAAGCACCCTTCCTGCTCACCTGTCTTCCCTTCTGTTTATTACCTGTCACCTGTGCTGATGTTCCATCTGCTTGCCTCGATGGTCCTAGAAATGATTGCGTCTCCCAGGGGACATGGGCAAGAAGCTGGTGACGGCCCAGAAGCGGGGAGAGACTCGTGCACTCTGCCTGGGTGTAGTCATGGTGCTGGCTGCTGTCATCTCCTACTACATCCTGGGCACCACCATGCTTCCCCTCTACCAGAAAAGGTACGTCACCCTCCTGTCCTTCCCCTCTCTTCCCACTTCTCCTCTAAGTATGTGGGTTCTGTGAAGAACCCAGCCTTCTTCCTATGCTCCTCCAAACCCTCCCACTGAACAGGAAGGTATGGAAGATCCTCATTTTTAGGGTCAAAGGTTTAAGTGCAAAGGAGACTAAATTGAACTGGGTCCTGCTTATTTGGGAGTCTGGGATTTGGGGATAATAGGCCTAGAAGGCCCTTCTCATAAGGAACAGCAAAGGATAAAAACAGATAGTCCAGTGTGAGCCTGATGCCAGGAGGAATCACACAATCTCATAGCTCATCTGCACAGCCCAGTAGTCCCTTTGAAACCTGTGGTCAGGTGAACATCTAGCCTGCTGTTGAATATTCATGACCAGGATCCTGTTCATAACTTCACTACCTGCTGGGACACTATTGCCTTTTCAGACTTTACTGACAAGTAGGAGGTGTTGCCGTGGAGCCAAAATCCATTGCACAGAATGCTGCTCTGGAATTTCAGGGAATATTCCATGCCCTTGTTCCCTGACATGTCAACAACTTGAGCTTTTGAAAGAGAGCTGTGAAGTTCCTGACTGATCTCTGCTCGATTTGGAATAAATGCACAGTTCTCTCAGCCTGTCCCTCGGATAAGTCTCAGACCCCTGCTGCTGACAGGCCCTTCTGTCTGCCAGTGTCTCCTGTCTGATAAATGGGAGATGAGATGGGTCCCAGTTATTTCTCATATGTGTTGATGAGGCCGTTAGCCTCTCCTGGACCTGCTCCTTCCTCACTTTTTACAACATTGGACCAATTCCAGGCTGGAATCTAACTGGAATGAGCCACCACTCAGGGAGGCACCAGGCTGGCACCCTCATCTTGCTATAAGCATCCAGCACTGAAGGAACATGCCCCCAGAGTCCTGGGCCAAGGGTAGGAATTACAGAATCAATATCAGACCAGGTTGGCCTCAGAGATGTACAAATAGTTCTCAACACAAGCTGCTCACCCAGAAATCCTGGGGTGGAGTGGGGAGAGATTCCCATGTTTAAGTTATGCCCCTAGACCAGGTGAATCAGAATTTCTCAGTGGTTGAGGTCCAGACCCCCTGTGCCTCCAACACAGCCTCTTCAGGTGAAGCGACATCCCCACCATCTCCCATATCCTCTAGTCTACTCTTTTTAGGGAAAAGAACACAAATTCTGGAAGGCAGCTCTGCTCACCACTAAACCACAATGCCAACAAATGGGCACACTTTCTGAGCACCTTCCCACATCTGGCTTCTGATCCTGTGTGGTCTTGGGAAAGTCTCTTTACCTTTTTCATAGCTTCTCCTTCTCTCTGCAAGATGAAGATGGTGTAGAGAATGGAGAGGTCTCAGACCTGGCTGCCTATCAGAATCACAGCAAGGAGCTTTAAACTCTTGCTGGTCTGGACCCCAACCGCTGAGAAATTCTGATTCCCTGGTCTAGGAGCATGACTTAAACATGGGGTTATCCCCTCTGCATTCCCTCCCACCCAGATTTCTGGGTGAACAGCTTGGGTTGAGAACTAGTTACACATCTCTGAGGCCAACCTGGTCTGATATTGATTCTATAATTCCTCCCCTTGACTTAGGACTTTGGGGGGCATGTTCCTTTAGTGCTGGATGCTTGTGGCAAGATGAAGGTGCCAGCCCTGGACATTCCTAAAGGGGTTCAAATGGGGTCTTCCATGTCACCCAGGTTCTTAGTTACATGTGTATATGTGGTCTTCCAGTGTATGGACCCAGAAAGTCACATGCCAATTAATTGAGACCAACATCCGGGACCAGGAGAAGCTTCAGGGCAAGAAGGTGGCCCAATACCCATGCCTATGGGTCAACGTGTCAGCCATGGGCCAGTGGGCTGTGCTGTACCACACAGAGGACACTTGGGACCAAAACCAGCAGGTACTACTGGGGGTATGGGACCACATCCCCTTACTGACAGCTGGGTGGGCTTGTCCCTAACTGGCACCTTGTGCCTAGTCTGCAGGGTAGAGGCTAAGAAAGATGAAGCCATTGACCAGGCACCAAAGCTGGTATGAGGTCAAGCTGGGTCTACACTTCTGTATTGGAATCAGACAAACATGGCTGAAAATCACAGTTCTGCCACTAAATGGCTGGCTGGGACAGGCCACTTAGCCCATCCCAGCCTAAATTTTCACCTTCACTGAAGTGTTGTATGAATCAATGCTATTACTTCATCCCATAAACTGCACCCTGGGCCAATGTTACCCACATGGAGAGGAACCCTGAGATTGATTCTCTGTACCGCCCTCCCCAAATCAGGGTCCTAGGGCTGGCATGACCTCTGGAAGTGAATGCTTGGGAGACTTTCCCATCACTGCCTTCTAAATGCCTCTCCTCCCAATATACCACTGCAGCCCATCCTAAAGGAAATGCCTTTGTTTCCTTACCACTCACTCATTTACTCACTCTGAGACCTAGCTCTCACTGACATCTGGAAAATGACACTCCCTCCTTTCATCCCTATAATTTTCTGTTCTCCCTCTGCCACGGATCCTTCCCAACTAGGTATTATCTCCCATCTGAGTTCTCTCCTTTTGATTCCTATAGTGCTAACACAGAAAGTGCTCAATGACTACAGAATGAGTGAGTGAGCGAATGTACCCACATGGCCAGGCATATTTTAAGAGCCAAAGTAGTCAGATGTGGCTGGAAAAACGGGCTAAACAATTTTTACAGAGACTCTGAGTCCACCAGGACTGGGGTCTCATCATCCTAGGCTCATGAGTGACAGTTCCTTTTGCCTTTGCACCAGAAGGCCAGAGCTTTACTTGGGACAAGTTTACTCCAAAAATGCTCACAGTGCTGTTTTTAACAGGCTGGAAACAGAAGTTGCTCCTAGTAGACTCCACTCCTTTCTAGACGGAGGTCTTACTGATTGTCAGGGATTTAAATTAAAGAAAAACAAAAAAAGAGGGGAATATTAATGATATTCCAGTAGTGTATGAGCTGTGAGGCTAGAATCTCTGCCAAGTACTATTAAGCTGTGAAATTAAAACAAGATCAAGCAAGCAAAGTCTCCTCAACTCTGGCCATGCATTAAACCCACCTGGGTCTTAAAACCAAATTCCCCACCAAACCAACAGAAACAGAATTTATGGGCACAGATGGAAACATAGGATGGGCCTAGGTAGAAAATGGATTAGTGGGACTAGGGATTAGTGTCACCTGAGAGCTTTCCGGGTGATGCTAAGTTCCAGAATATTGCTGTGAGCAAATGGGAGTCTTTAAAGGGTCTGGAGTCCTAGTGGTACAGAGGAGTGGGGGTTCAGTTACTGGGCAGGGAGGTGAAGCAGCTGGGCAGAGGATGGGTCTGCATTGAGGATGGATGCCCAACTGTCAGAGTTTGAAAGCCAATAGGATGGGAAGGGGCAGATTGGCTGGGATGGAGTAGGGGAGACAGTAAGGTTATGAAGAAGTGGGTTTGGGGGGTACAAGGTGCTCACACCAGTTCTGTATTCACTAGAGTGACTCAGCTCCATGTAATGGAGGTTTCAAGCCCACCTGAATCAGAACCTAAACATTCTGATCTTTCCCAAGGATCAAGAAGCAAATTCTATAAGACTGGCAGAAGTGATCACTGGTACTGGGAGTTGGGGGAGGGGTGTTGGGACAAGGCTGGCAGTTCAGAGGAGGGAGATGCCAGAACTTCCCCTGAATGAGCAGTCTGTTGCACATGAGACATGCCAATCTGGCCCTGGAGGGATGGTGATGGCTGCCATGGGCTATTCTATCTTCCCTCCTGTGGTTCCCAGGCATCACCAGGAGCAGAGCTAATGCCTCTCTTTTGGGACACAGAAAGTGCCCCCATGATTCTGCCAAGTAGCTAAGTCAGTGGGTTAGCCTGCCCCTCTACTTTGTTTAGCTCTGAGATGCAGAGGTCAGTGTTCCAGGCCAGAAGGGGGTGCCCTCTGGAATCACATGCCAGGCCAGGCTGGGCCAGTTTGTCTCTCCCCACCCCATTCAGAGAAAGGGAGCTGATAAGACTGCTCTCAGGTCCTACGAGCCCTTACCTCAGCTCCTAAGCCACTTTCTACGGTCCATTCTGAGGACAGTCACACTGAGGGGCTCAGGGGAGCATATGGGTCATTTCAGATGCTTCAAACAACTCAGAAAGGTTAGCTCAACCCAGGCCAAGCAGGAGAGGACACAGCAGGCCTTGGGCTTCTGGGGGTTGGTCCTGCAGAGTAAAGTCCTGTGAGTGTCTCACCTGGCATAGAGCACCCACAGTAACCCCAAGTTGGCTAAGGTCTCATGTCAAAGTTTGCTCACAGACCCCTCTTTAAGAAGGTAGCTGTTGGTTGTAATGTCATAGTTAAACGTACCATCATCGTAATCCTCACTAGTATCATTCCTTTATCAAGCGCTTTCAGGTGCTGGGCTCTATTCTACACGCTTTTCATGCACTGACTCATCTAATCCCCATAATTCCACTGAGCTGGCACCTCATACACACATTTTACAAGACTCAACAAGGCTGTGGCACCTATCAATTCCACACACATGGTTAAACCTGGTTTTATCGCCACAGTTTTGCTCAATGAGCTAGGTTACCCAAACCAGCTTTGAGACGAGGCTTTGGGGAGACTCGGTCCTCTCAGCTCAGCATTCTGAATCCACCTGAGACCCTTCAGTGCCCAACAATTTGAATGCCAGATTCTTCAAGCTCCAGCTTCTCTCCCAGCCTCAGCTGGTTCCTGGCTTGTTGGGGGCATACTTCTGAAGGCAGTTCCTTCACCCCTCAGCCTGTCAGAATGCAATACTTTCCTCCTCTATTCCAGTAAATGCTGTTAAGTCAGGTAGCCGTGGAGCCTCACAGGTCCACAGCTATAGGGGTGGGGTGAAGATAATGGTTTAAAACGGGTGAAAAGAGCACAAGGGACTATGGTGATGGTTCATGGGTGAACTGGTCATGGGAACTCCTTGGGGACCAAACAAGAGTGGATAAAACATACAATGTATGAAAATGAAGAACAATGCAAACAAATATATGTATATATATATATATATATATAATTTCACAAATAAATAAATCAATCCAGGGAGTAGCCAGGATCTGGCGAGAAGCTGGCTCAACAATTTTACATGTTTTAATTTTGGACATGATGTCATTAGGAAACTGGTCTTCAAACTTTCCTTTTTCCTTCATGTAAGAGCCTCCCGGTTGTTGGGTCTTACCCTCAGAGTAGAAACCTGTGCTATAGGGGCCTCTCTGGTGGCACAGGGATTAAGTCTCAGTGCACTGAGACTTTTAGAACAAAAGAAACCTGTGCTATGGCCAACCCTCCAGGAAGAAGGTGGAGATCACGCTTGTAGAGCATCTCCCAAACCAGAGGCCAAACAAGGTCTCTACTGTGTCTTCTCTTTGGAGCCTGCCAGCTGGACCTCATCTGCCCAGGCCAGAAGGTTTGTAATAACAATGATCAGTGGCAGACTTAAATGTGCACTGGGCTGCCTGCACAAATGCATTCTCATTACATGCAGGCTCTCTTCCCTTTGAATCCTGGGGTCAAACGTCAGCTTGCCAACATCTTTGGTTTTTGTTCATACAGGTTAGACCTCAAACGGTCTTCCACTCACATTTTTACCTGTAGGTTAAAACTGCGAGTGTTCACGTTATAAATTAGTTTTTTGGCTTCTCTGGAAATATTGGCGACCTGCCTACAACAGGTCTTTGGATCCAATGTGTCTATGGTCCAGGTGAATGGGTGACCCCAGGCTGCATGCATCTGCTCTCTCTACTTCCCCAGGCCCCACCACTCCCTGATGATCTTCCAGGGCACCAAGGTGTCTGGCCCCAGCCATCGCCCTCCTCAGTTTACTTGGTGTCACTCGGCTTGAGCCTGTGAGTCACTGAGCACAAGACCTATGCTCTGAATTCAAACATAGAGCCCACTTGCCTTGGATCACACATGGGTCTCCTCAAATTGTTAAGTTTGAAGTCCTTTAATAACAGCTTTTGAAAAAGATATTGCAGTGAACCCATTTTAAGGTTGAGAAAGGGTAATAAGCCACTCAATTATGGTTCCTTAGCCAATGGAAGCCCCAGGCCTGGACTCCAGCTAGGGCCCTGCCCTGCGCCCAGTGAGCAGCTGCAAGGCCACCATACCCACAAAGGGCACTGTGAGCTGCCTCCACTGCCAAGCTTTAGACAGAGTCCTGCCTCCTATCAGGAGCCTGCCCCCAAAGCTGTCATTCTGGACTCCAAGCCAACCCCTAAGAAAGAGGAGTTTCCAACCCCTGGCGCTCTTGCTTCTCCCCCTGCAGTGCTCCTACATCCCAGGCAGCCTGGACAACTACCAGGCAGCCCGAGCCGACGTGGAGAAAATCAGAGCCAACTTCCAGAAGAACCAAGTTTTCGACTGCTTCTCGAATATGCAGGAGAATGACACCAGGGTCCTGCACACACGCCTCTATGAGCCCCGGACTCTTCTTTTAAATCTCTTCTGGCCCACCTTCCTGCTGACTTGTGGCCTCATCATTATCGCCATGGTGAAGATCAACCAGTCCCTTTCCATCCTGGCGGCCCAGAAGTAGACCCATCCATGCCACCAACCCTGTCAAGGCCACAGGCTGTGGTCCACATGCACCTGTCTCCTTCCCCTGCCATCCTCCCACTACCTCCCTTGAACCATTCACGATGGCTTTCGAGAAACCTTTTTGGTAAGTCAGTTCCTGCTCAGGAGTATTCAGTGGTTCACTAGAGCCTAGGAAAGTTCAAGGTCATCCAGTCACAGCTCTCCAAGACCTGCCTCCATGCAACAGACTGAGGCCTCTCCTACTGCACCCCTGTGCCCTGCGCAGATGATGATTTCCACCGCTGCACCCAAGATGATGATTCTCACCTCTGGCCATGAGGCCTGCCTGTCCTGCCCGGGCACCTGTCCTTGGCAAACCTCTTCCTCTTTTGACTCCCATTGTCCGAATATTAGCAATTTCCACATTTAGGGAAGGACACTCTTGTTTTCCGAATACTAGGTATTATTACATTTTTACTCCAGTATCAACAAATATATTGAAAGCAACAAAGGCTATACAGAAAGATACTAAAATAGATCAAAACGCTATCAGTGAGATGGTGGCTAATTTGAATTTGAATTTTCATCCCTTTTTTTTGTACTGGTGGGTCCTTTTCTATATTTTCAAAAACAGCAAGGTTGGGTTTCATTGTGTTTGTTTTTAATCTGAAAGGCAACTATAGATGTTATTTTGGGGGAAAAAAAATTAAAGGGTGAGCTCCTTTCAATTCCCTGGTCACCAAACAGATGGGAATGAGCTGGGGGGGGCGGGGGGCTGGGTTCCAATCAGAGATGGGCTTTGAGAAAAACAATCTCAACCCTGTAAGGGGGAAGCAACCATGTAGATGGAGATTTATGATTCACTGAAGGCAGAAGTATGAGGCAAAGAAACCCTGCCAGGAGGCCCATCACAGACCTGAGAAAGGCATCATTGGAGGAAGCTGTCACCTCTCCTGTTAATGCTCCAGGAAGTATTCCTAGAGCAATGGTTCTCAAAGTGTGGTCTCTGAGCAGTGGCATCAACATTCAATGTAGAACTAGGAAAACTGCACATTTTCAGGCCCCTGCCCAGCCCTGCATAGCCAGAAACCTCAAGAGGGTGTGGATTGGTGAGGTGTAGTGGAGTGGGGTGGGGGACAAAAGACGGGGCAGCCCTCTGTGTTACCAATGGTAGTGGGCAATTCTGATGTATGCTTAAGCATAGCCCTGTCACCCAGCTCTTCAGAATAGACAACTGGCTACTGGGTAGCAAAGGTGCTGGGCTGGGTGCAAAGTTAATCTGTTGTCTCTAAAGATCCCTCTAGAACTATGATTCTAGTGCCGCTTGTCTATACAGATGCTGCCCTTTATCTCTCTGATTTCCTGTTGAGGATTCCCTATTGAGCAGAAAGACTCTTTCTTTAGGGAGAGGGGAGGGCTGAATAATGATCTGGCATATAGCAGGTTGCCATGATGAAAGCTGTTGTTAACAACAGTAGTATGTAACCTGTAGTCAGAAGCTCCCAGAAGACATTAAACCAGTCTATTGGTATATTAACTATATTAACTATTGGTATATTAACTGTTATGAGTTAACAAGTTAGAGATATTGGTGCTTATTCATAATATGATGGGTTCTGTGCTAACCAGGGTGCCTTGTAAAAATTCAGCAAGTTGCTACTGAACCCACCCATGGATGAGGAGAAGCAATACAGCACAGTGGTTATGCATGAGGCCTTGTGACATGTCCGTCTGGGCTCAAGTACCCTCTTGTGCCATTCACCAGCTTGGTGACTGGCAAATATCCTCTCTGTGCCTCAATTTCATCACTTTTAAAATAGGAAAAAAAAAAAAAGTGTTCCTCCTTAGGGTGATTGGTATTAAATGAATTATTATATAACATTTTAGAATAGCGAACACGGTAACTACTATTACAAGATATTATAAAACAATGAGGCTCTAAGAGGTCATTGGCCAAGGTCATGCATACAGTAGGTCAAAGGCTGGGAATTAAGGCTATACCATGTGATTCCGAGCTGGGCCTCTCAACCACAGTGCAGGAGCAGATTCAGCTGCAGGCCTCAAAGACCCAGCCACCCGTGGACAAGGAAAGGATGTGCACTACTTCTCTGGAATCCACTGGTGGTCTCATGCAGGCCAGGGGTACTACAGGAGGGCTCTTGAACATTGGCACCTGGACAGCTGTCACTTCTAACCAGAGAGTCCTGATGCACCCCCACTCCCTCCAGGAGATATGACTTCCAAGGGGAGGCAGAATATCATTTCCCATAGTTTTCCCTCCTGGACTCAGAGAAATCTCAAGAACCCTCTGAGTCTTTTAAGAAAGTCTGTGTAATAGTGTACTGTCTAGCTTTGCAAGATATTGCCACTGGGAAAGGCTAGGGAAAGGTACTAGGGATCTCTATTATTTCTTACACATCATGTGAATCCCTAGTTATCCCAAAATTTTAATTTTAACTTAAAAAAAATCCAAAAAAATATAGAAAGTTCCCATGATGCATTTCATTTAAAGGGTCTCCTTTGCACATGTATCTGTATCTGGGGTTGAAATACACAAGAACTCAGAATAACCAAACAGGCTCTGCAGGAGGAAATGACCACATCCCTCTAGAAGCATTAGTACCTGGGGGTACCCAACCCCCCTATCCTGCTCATTATAAACAATGACTTTCATTTGCTGGAGCCCAATGCCGCCCTCCTGTCCAACAGAAACTGGCCACTGCTATCAAATCCCACACCTACCTGCTGCTCACAGAACTTCACCCCCAGGAAGAGGGTGAAATAATGGGCATTTAAGTGTGATGAGTTAGACACAGAGGGAAAACGTTTTTGAAATAATGGCTGCCTGGGAGCAGAGACCTGCAGCAGTTCTCAATAAATCACTTTACTAATGAGCATCCAGTGCTTTTTCTCACATGGGCCAGAGACTCACAGCTGAAGAGTTGTACCTGGAGTGCTCCTGAGTCCAGGCCCTGGAGATGACAGGCAAGGATGTGGGGAGGAGCCAAGATGAATCAGACTCTGAGTCTGCCTTCAAGAAGCTTTCACTCTTGCTACTCTCTCTCTCTACCCCAGCCACTATTGTTAAAAGTTCCTTCTTCAGAACTCTCCTGCACTGCTGGTGGGAATGCAAACTAATACCACTACAAAAAGCTGTTTGGAGGTTTCTCAAACTGCTAAAAATGGAGCTTCCATATGAGCCAGCAACCCTACTCCTAGGTATCTACCTAAAAGACACAAAAACACTGATTCAAAAAGACACCTGCACCCCCACATGTATTGCTGCTTTGTTTACTATAGGAAAGATATGGAATCAACTCAAATGTCCAAAAATAAATGACTGGATTAGAAACAGGTGGTACATATACACAATGGAATATTACTCAGCAATCAAAAAGATAAATACATGCCTTTTGCAGCAACATGGATGGAGCTGGGAGGGATCATGCTTAGTGAAATAAGCCAGAAGGAAAAAGAGAAATATAGGATGGTTTCACTCATGGCAGTAGTATAAAGGAACAGGGGGTAAAAATAATAATGAACAACTATATACCAAAGACATTTTATGGAGGTGGAATGGGGAATGGAATAAAAAATGGGGGGGTGGAGTGCATGGGACTATGGTGATGGCACACGGGTGAATTGGTGGTGGGAAGTCCATGGGGATTACAACTGAGATGGAAAAAAAGACACAAAATGATGTAAAAAGAGGGCCCTCCCTGGTGGTGCAGCAGGTTAAAGCACAGCACTAAGAAGTTAAAGCATCTTCAGCATGAGTTCAATCCCTGCCCGCCCCAAGGGTGACCCACATGGCACAGCAGACCTCTCCTGATCCGCCTCCTGCTCCCCTCAGCAGTGTACTTCGTCAGTCGGCCTGTTCTGCTCCTCACTCTGTCTCTGGTGAATCCTCTCACCACCCCTGCACCTCTGGCCTGTACCCCAATTCTGTATGCATAAATAAATAAATATTTTTTTAAATGATGTAAAAATAAGCTATTATAAAAAATTTTTTAGAAGTCCATTCATGGGGACGAAACTACTTTATGCAAATTTTAAAGATTACTAAAATTCTAGTTTTTGTGACTTAAGGAAATGATGCCAGTCCTCCACCTCTCCAAATCAACAAGTCTATGTCCCAACTCCTTGGCTGAACGGATTGTAAACTGCATTTATTTTATTGCTAATTGGCACTTCAGGCTGGTGTTTAACTATTCAACGTCCTTTGGTTTAGTATTGCATTTGTGGAAGTTTGAATTATATAAATTATTTGCAGAGATGTTGTCTGAACAAAATAAAGCTGGTGTGTACTTGCCAGTCACTGCCCTTCCTTTCAGGCCCAGGAAAAAGAGAAAGACCAAAGCAAGATCAGACAGGCACAGAGAAAACTTACTACAATCTGGTAGAGTAGTTTTCAAAGTGGGAAGTTTTCATATGAATATTAAGATGTTATTTGCTTTTTTCATTCTCCTCTTTTCCCAGCATTGGTGAAAAAAAAATTTAGAACTTAGGTGCTATCACAACAGACTGAATACAGAAGCAGATATGAGAACCCAGCTGTCTTCTGTTATGCCAGACATCAAAGAGATTTGCAAAAATGTAAAAACAATGCCATTTTTCTTGATAAGGTTTTGGGGAAATTTTTGTAATTATTTTAATAAAATATGTATATGACAATATGTTAGTCAATAGATTTATTATTGTAGTTTTAAATAAATTATGCATAATTTAAATGAAATATTCTTTGTTTTAACTTCTGAAATGGTAATGAGTAGATATAACCCTTATAAACCAAATCTCTTTGGGGTCCTCGATATAGTTTAAGATATTAAATAGTTCCTGGGCCCTCCCTGGTGGCGAAACAGCAGGTTGAAGCACAACACTATGAAGCTAGCTGCAGCCACTTCAGCGTGAGTTTGATGTTTGATCCCCACCACGGAGGTGACCACAGGGCGCAGCAGACCTCTCCCGACCTGCCCATTGCTCCCCTCAGCAGTGTTCTTCGTCATTCTGCTTGTTCTT